GATGCTGCTTGGCCTGCTGTGTTCATCCAGCCCTGCACCTTGTTGTCTCGGATTCTCCAGCATCTGCAGTTCCTACTATCTCTCTGAATCTCCTGTTTATATCTGTCAGCCAGGGCTCCCTGATTGGCCCAAGTTACCAGCCCTAATCAAGGATCTCATATTCAATGAGATCCACCTGACCCTCATTCCAATCACCACCACAGATCAAAAACAAAAACATGACAGCATGAAAAATATTTTTTATTGTGGTGCTTGAAAATGTAGAAAGTTTAGACTCTGACATACATTTGTCCATTGTCATATATTAAATGTGTGCAACTCCAAATGTAGCCAATGTGCTTCCTGACAGGAATTTTAAAATATGTGAGTATCTGCCACATATGGCCAAAATGAATCAGCAATTTTCAAAGCCAGAACTGAAGATTGTTTTAGTGGTAGTTTGCCATAGCATGGAAAGATGAAGGCACCAAGCAATTTAGCAATTAATTGTGATGCCAAACACTGACAGAAACTTAACTTGTCTTACCTGCTAAAAATGAAATCTGGAGCAAAAGGTGAATAGAATAAAGTGACAACATGGTGATAATGCTTAAAAGGAACCTGCAAAAGAAAATAAATGAATCAAATTCTGCTTAAATCGTGAATGAAGCTACGCAGCACTTGCTCAATTTTTTTTAAACTTGCCCTATTTTAAGCTTTGAATGAAAACATGTCTCATTTAACAATCAATTTAGAAAACATGGGGTAATTTTGACTTAGGACAATGGTGTCAAAATGTGTAATATTGAAACAACCACCCATTTCATTTCACTTTTCTGAAATGAAAATGAAAAGAGATATATGGCAAGTGGATGATTTGATATTGAACAATTTCTACTTTTGGCTAAAGTTAAAATCACTGCCAAATAATTGCCATAATTCTCCTTTGGATGAATTTGAAAGGGCTATTTCTGCATTCTGGTGAACTTCTTTTCATTAATACAATGTGAAAGAAAAAGCTATGAGACCAGATTGTAATTTCTGAAACAAAGAAAAATTTTAACTCACTTGGTGTGTTTACAGTAGAAGCATAGAATAGAATCCTTTCAGTGTGGAAGCAGACCATTCAGCCCATCCAGTCCACACTGACTGTTCAAAGAGCATCTCACCAAGACCTACATCCCCACCCTGCATCTCCTATGGCTAATCCACCTAGCCTGCACATCCCTGGGCACTATGGCCAATCCACAGAACCTGCACATCTTTGGAATGTGGGAGGAGACCGGAGGAAGCTCACATAGAGAGAGGGAGAATGTTCAAACACCACGCAGACAGTCACTCAAGGCTGGAATCGAATCTGCCCTTCTAGCACAATGGGGCAGCAGTGTTAACCACTGAGCCACTGTGACATCCAATCAATAGGTGCAAGGTAATCCTCAGATTAAACCACCACCAGACTCTCTTTAATGAGAGAGTAGACCTATGGTTCTCACTTCAGGTCGGTACTGGGGCACAGAACATGTGGGACTTGGACATCTGGCTCACTCTGCAGTGTCGGGAGATAGCTTGCAGAAGACTGCAGGACCACAGAATTGTTATGGTACAGATGGAGACCATTCAGTCCATCGTGCCCATTCTGGTTCTATTATCCAGCGCCAATTTCCTGCCTTTCCTCCATATCCCTGTGCATTATTTATGTCCAACTAATCACCAAATGCCTCCTTGAATGCCTCAATAGAACTTCCCTTCACCACATTTCCAGGCAGTGCATTCCAGACCCTAACCGCACGGGTCTGTGCTCTGACTGCAGGGACCAGGCTTTTGATTCTAAGGAGTAATACAAGGGTGGGGCGGGTTTAGGGGGGTAAGCGTGATGGTGGCTAGGGATAGGTCAGGCACTAGGGAACAGTAACTGGAACTGGTTGCTGGGGAAAGCTGGAGTGGGAAGTCTGGGGACTTAGTTGGGGAGGGTGTAATAGGTGGTGGGAGGGGGAGCCAGAGAAGAATCTGGTCATTGATGGCTGTCCAAGCAGACATAGTGGATTCTGCAGGCAAGTGAAATGGTGTTTACTTGCTGATCTTGTTTGCTGGCACAAACAGAAAGTAAAAACCATCAAATGACATGGACTGGTCTCAGCAGTGTTGTATACTTCCAATTGGAAGTCTAGTATGACTAGAAAGTTCATTTCCAATTATTACTGTAATTTTTCCCTCTCAGGCTCAGTTTGGATGACAGATTTTCCAAGGCCTGAGGAACCCTGCCTTCTGGTGTCAAATTGCAAGCAGTCAATAAAAATGAGGCATGTATGCTCTGTATCGTCAATGATGTGTAAACCTGCCTCCTTGGTGTGGAAATCACCTGACTCTCATCCTATCGCCATTAAAACTGAAGATGGGCAGGTTTGAGGTGTGTTGCAACCATGATTCAGACTTTTAACACTGTATCCTATTCGACACAAAATACTCCAAATTCCATGATACAAATCTATTAATTTTCTTTACTAAAAGGACAAAATATCAGCCAAGTGGAAAGTCTGTATTATTTGTTGTAGTGCAGCACAAGGATAACTGCTTGCTCTAATGAATTACATCGTAAAATCTGAGACTTTGTTCACATTGCAACACAGAAAGACAGTGGGAGACAGACTTTTGTCTCAAACATTTAAGGGGCATTTAGACAGACACAGGAAGGGGGAGGGAATGTTGGGATACAGACCATTTTCAGGTGGATGGACTATTTCAAAATGGTAACATGGTCGCCACAGACATGGTGGGTCGAAGGGTCTGTTCCTATGCAGTACTGTTACAGGTCTAAAGGCCCCAGCTACAATATTCAGGTCCGATCTTGACACCAGCAATAGGCAATGATCAATCCAAGGAGTTTACAGGATGTATAATCCACATAAAGGTTACAAATGGACACCAGTCCTTACAGATGATTAAACAAAGGAACAGAAGTAGGCCATTCAGCCCCTCAGGCCTTCACCATTCAACAGAATCATGGCTGATCCAACATTCCTCATGCCTACTTGCCCGCATTTTCCCTACTAATCAAGAATCTATCTTCCTCAGCCTTAAATATACAAGGGACTCTGTCCCCACAGTTCTCTGTGGCCAGGAGTTCCAAGGACTCACAACACTCAGAGAGAAGAAATTCCTTCCATCTCAGTCTTAAATTGGTGCCCCTTTATTCTGAGACGATGCCGTCTGATCCTAGACTCTCCCATGAGGGGAAACATCCTCTCAGCATTTACCCTGTCAAGCCCCTTAAGAATCCTATATGTTTCAATGACATAACCTCTCATTCTTCTAAACTCCAGTGAGCAGAGTCCCAACCTGTTTAATCTTTATTCATAAGACAATCCCTCCATACCAAGGATCATCCTAGAGAACCTTCTCTGAACTGCCTCGAATGAAATGATATTTTCCTTAAATAAGGGGACAAAAACTGCTCATGGTACTCCAGATATGGTCTAACAAGTACCTTACAATGCAACATGCTGATCTTCTCTCTGGATACAACTGGTAAAGACACACAGATTTGCCCTCAGTGGTGGAGCACATGGCTTTCCTATTCTACATTGATTTCAGGCTAATGAAAATTGGATTGATTCTATAATGAACTGGTAATCCCATCCCTTGGATTAACATGTGGTGAAGATGAAATAAAATGTCAATGGGTGCTACTCTGTAAGGATAGCTCCTAAATTTGGTTGTCAATTGTAAATGTTGTGCATTTTGGAATAGTGACTTATTGATTAAAGGTACAGAGAAAATCTCCACCATGACACTGTCACAAGCAGAAGTCGGTGGATTTACTTTTATCATGAAATAGTAGCTGCCTCTGTTATTTTTAAAACACTGTTTTGCACCTTATAATTACACTTACATTATGTGTTAAACCTAACATAAGGACAAAAAACCCACAAATAGCTACAAAGCAATGATGCTGGAAGTGTCGACACTCCAAACAGTAAAGTATTCACATTGACAGTAAAAGATCAAATGTGGTTCAATTTCAAGTTGAAATCTAGGTACAGGTCAGTAAAGCAACCACACACACACACAAAGCATGTAGAGTACAATGTGGGAAAGTATGAAATCGCTCATTTATAGCTGCAAGAATAAAATAGAAACATGTTATCTAAATGGTGAGAGGTTGCAGAGCTCTGAGATGCGGAGAGCTCTGGCTGTTCTAGAACAGGAATTGAATAAGATTAGTACGCAGGTACAGCAAGTAATCAAGAAAACTCAGAATGCTTTCTTTAGTTGTGAAAGGAACTGAAAACAAGAGTAGGAAGGTTATGCTTCAGTTACACAGGGCAACGGTGAGACATATCTGGAGTAATATGTATAGTACTGTTCACCATAGTTACTGAATTATGTTAATTTGTCGGAAGCAGTTCAGAGACTAATACCTGGAATAATCGGATTGCCTTATGAGGAAAGGCTACACAGGTGACCCTCTAGAGTTTAGAAGAGTCAGGGGTGACTTAATTGATATATGTAAGATCCTCAGTAGATTTGGCTGGGTGATTGTAAAAAGGATGTTTCCTCTTGTGGAAGAATCTAGAACTAGAGGACACTGATTAAAAATAAGGGTGGCCCAATTAAGTCAGAGGTAAGGGAAAAATATTCTTTCAGAGGGTTGTGAGTCTACCTTCTCCAAAAGGCAGTAGATGCAAAATCTTTAATATTTTTAAGGCACAGATATATTTTTAATGACCAAGGGGAAAAATTATCAGTGGTAAGCAGGAATGTAGAGTTGAGGTTGAAATCAGATCAGCCATGATCTTACAGAATGACAGAGCAGGGTCTAGGACTGTGTGGCCTGCTCTTGATCCTTGTTCATATGTTAAGTAATTTGGGATAATTTTCATTGATAACTGTGAATGGGTCAACTATTGAGTCAATGGGAAGGAAGTTGTGCAGTATTTCAGACTGAAATGATGAGCTCACAGATAGCAATTTTCAACAAGCAGCCTCTTACTTTCTGTGTTGTTACTGTGTATGTGTGTAGGATTGCTACAAGACAAAGGCATCCTGACAACTGTCATCAGTATTAGCCAAAAAAGCTGGTGGTTGCCAGCACCAGCTTAATTTGTAAGAAAACAGCTAAATTTTAGGCAGGCTGGTTGTGAACTTAAAATAGAAAGAACACTTTGAGAAAACGCACAGGAAGGAAAATGTCAACCAAAAACAGAATGCTTTTGAGGATATATTTGAAAAATGCAGATGAAATATAAGCAAGTAGTTATTTGGTTTAACACCAAAGATTATCTTCAAACTCTGAGACCTTGGACTCTGTTCCCCCTCTGCAACTGGATCCTTGACTTCCTGACCCATAGACCGCAACCAGTAAGGATAGGCGACAACACCTCCTCCGCAATAATCCTCAACACTGGTGCCCTGCGAGGCTGGGTACTCAGCCCCTTCCTATATTCCTTTACACTCATGACCATGTGGCGACATTCTTCCCCAAATTCATTTACAAATTTGATGACACCACTGTAGTGGATCAGATCTCAAACAACAATGAGATAGAGTCAGAAAGAGAGAGAGACCTTAGGGGCTCTTCTTCAATGTCAGCAAAAAAAAGGAGCTGGTCATTGACTTCAGGA